GGAGACCACTGATGCAGGTGCAAAGCAGGATTTAGAATGATTCATTTTTTAAAACTACATGCTATATCTAACTCAGATTATGTTGCTTGCCTTTGGATCCCTTCCCCATAATTAGGCTGCCTTGTCTGGCCTCAGTAGGAGAGGATGTGCTTAATCCTGCTGTGACTTGATGTACCAGGGTGGGTTGGTATTCATGGGGAGCCTCCCTTTTCTGAGGAAAAGAGGATGAGGGGAAGAGGGAGAGGGTGTGAGGGTGAGACTGGGAGGAGAAGATCGAGATGGAGTGGGGGTAGGGCTCCAATCAGCCTGTAAAGTGAATAAATAAATAAATTAAAGAGGGAAAAACAATTTTCCCAAACTAAAAGAAAGTGGTGTTCATTGAGTAATAAGAAACACACAGAACACCAAATAGACAAGATCAGAAAAGAAATTCCCCATGACACATAATAACCAACACACTAAAGTGCTGAACAAAGAAAGGATATTAAGATCTACAAGAGAAAGAAAGACCCAATCATATAATGGCAGGACCATTAGACTAATACCTGAATTTTCAAAGGATATTCTGAAAGCTAGAAGGGCCTACATGGATGTTCTATAAACTCAATAAGGGCACAGATGTCAGCTCAGACTACTATAACAAGTAAAATTATTCATCACAATTGACAGAGAAAGAAAAACATTTCGCATCAAAAACAAGTAATTTCAATCAAGCTCTACAAAAGACACTGGGGAGAAAACAGCCTGAAGAGGTTAGCTATACCCAAGAGGAGAAAAAGGAATAAATAATCCTAGAACAACTGAAAGGAAAAGAAACCCACATGTTAACAAAATAATGGGTAATAAAAAATTATAAATAATAATTTATAATAATAAATTATATAATAATAAATAATATCTCTCAATATTAACGGTCTCAATTTCCTCAATAAAAAACACAGAGACTAACAGATAGGATTAGAAAACAGGATCTATCTTTCTGCTGCACCTGTGAAACATACCTTATTATCAAGGACAATTATCATGTTAAAATAACATGATGGAAAAGGTATTCCAAGCAAACAGACCCAAGAAGCAAGCAGGTATAGCTATTTTAATATCTGACAAAATAGACTTAAAACTGAAACTAATTAGAAGAGATGGGGAAGGAAATTACTCTCATGTTGTGTGTGTGCGTGTGCATGAGCATGTGTGTGTATGTGTAGAGCCATGCACATGTACATGTGTGCCAGTTTGAGGTTTTGTCTTTTACTGCCTATTGTAATACTAAATGTAGGGCCCCTGGAGTCTGCACATAGCCCCTGTGACCCTGTTATAACCCAAGTTATTCCTGATTGGTAAATAAAGATGACAACAGCCAGTAGCTAGCCAGAGGAGACACAGGTGGAGTTGAGTTTTCCCAGACTTGGGGTCAGAGGAGGAGGAGAAGAACTTGGAGAAGGGAGAAGTAGTAGCCATGGACAGCTTCGCCTTGTGGGCTGGCCAGTTGGAGATAGAAGCAACCCAGATGGAACATAGTAAATAGTAATAACTCAGGGTTATCAATAGGAAAGTGTCAGGGGCAGCTCTGCATATACACTGAAGGCCTAAAATCAGCAATAGGCCTAAGTCAGCTTGCTAACACAAAGTCTTGGGTCTTTGTGGAAAAATATTGAAACAGATGGCTATAAGCTATTGTAAACAAGCAGCTTTGGTGGAAAATTGCCAGCCTGAGTAGTCATAGACCTTGTAGATAGGTAACCTTGGTGGATAATACCAACTTACATAAGGACAAGTGAACCATAGGCAGAATCATAGTGACCTGTCCCCTGAACCTTCACCCAGCTGACACTTTGTTCTGGAAGATATCCGTACTCTTCCTAAACACCAACGCTCCTGTCATCCCCTTCCCCACATCCTGCCTTTTTGTGTATATAACCCTTGTGTGAAAAAAGCAAAATCATCAGTTTGATCAGACTATAGACAAGCCACTCGTTCTTTGAGTCCCCCTGTTTCCCCCACTTTCTCTTTCAGGTGACCTTCCTGGACCCCTGTTTAATGCCTTGCTGGCCAGGACAGGAAAGTAGATTCTAGCAGCATGGAGAGTAGGGAGCTGCCCAGCTATCATGCTTTTTGGGGCCTATTGTAAACATAAAGTCTGTGAGTGTGTCTTTCATTCAGGAACTAATTGATTTAAGGTGGAGTAGAAACCTTGGGCCAGGAATTAAATAATTTCTACAACATGTCAGGTACCTGTACTCTCAGTATTTGTGATTCAGAGGTATCAGAAAGGCCTGGGGATGTAGCTCACTGGCATGATTCATGACTAGTATAGAGAAAACTAATGTACCAGGGTTTAAGGGCAGAACATAGAACAAAATTCTTAAGTTTATTTCCTAGCATAGAAAAAAATGAAAGGAGGAAAGGAAGGAAGGGAGGGAGGGAGGGAGGGAGGGAGGGAGGGAGGGAGGGAGGAAGGAAAATGAAAGTAAGCATGCATGAGAGACACTTTATATGAGGGACTTGAGCATTTGTAGTTTTTGGTATTTGTAGGGAAGAGGTAGTCTTGGAATGAATCCCTACAGCTCTCAAGGGATAATTTGATTATTATCTCATTATATGTTCATATATATCCATGAGATGTGTTCATTTTCATACTAGTCCTTCAAAATCCTTGACAACAGCTGCCCCATTGTGGCTCAAGACACTTACTGAACAGTCCAGCTTATGAAAGATATCTGGCTTCTACACTCAAAATTTCCCCTTGTGCTTTCTGGAGGGACAGCGTTTCAAATTGTCTAGTTTCCCTAATTCTAACTGCACTGAACCTGTTTCCTCAGCATGATTTCAGACCACTGTGGCCAGTATCTGCAGTACTGTTCCTAATTCTCTGCTGGACAAGAGTGATTCATTAAAGGCCACATGGACAGCCATAGTTCAGCAGTCTAAATGGTTCTGCTACATCAAGAGGCCTGCAGCATCTTACAGACTCTAGGAGCTGCACAGAATTTAACTCATGGCCTGAAGCAATACCAATCTATTTCCTCCCGGAAAGCTGTGGCAAACCTCAATGATCACAAACTTGACATTACTGCCATGACATCCCTCCAGCTCGATCAGTTTGACTCCTGTTACTTTCTCCATTCCATACTTGGCCATTGATAGGGTTGCTGCAAAGCTGTGTGCATGGGTGCTGAGATACACAGAAGTCAGAGATTTCTATGCTTCATCTGGTAGCCTGTGAGCTACAGGTTCTGCCTCACCTGTGCTCACTCCCCTCCACTCTCTCCACAGTACCCAATATTCCTGAGCTTCCTATTCCACAATGTCCCTCAAGACTTTCTAGGACTAAACTTTCCAGAGCTAACAACTCTGTGGCTCCTGTCCTCACCAGGTATTCCTCACTCATTCTGTAGTCCATCCCCAGTCCTCAGCCTTCTCAACCTAAAGGTCATACTTCAGACAGAAGTCAGCAACATGGGGAGGATATGGGAGAGGAGGCAACTAGAGAAGCTCACACACTCTGATTCTACAACCCTGACATTACCATACCTGCTAATAGCTGGAGGGGACCATAGCCCACAAAAGAGGCATAAAAGCTCAGTTTACAAGTAGATGTGTATAACCACAAAATGTCACTCTTAATGGTATTGTCAAGGAGGTTGGGGGAGGCATCTGTTCCCTGTGCCATACTTGCAATCAGTGGAGGGACTACTGAAGAGGCTGGAGTCGTGTTCCCAACAGCATACCATGGTACCTCATGTTTGTCCCTGACCTACATCATCTGCCTGGGTAGAGATCTTTAAAGTGTGCAAGTGTGGGGATGTTGGTCTTATCCTGGAGCACCAGCCTAATTGCATATTCTAAAAACACTATGTCTTTGGTGAACTAAGCAAGAAAACATGTCCTGGTTCTCAGTTGCATGGCTGGATGGCCTACAGTGTCTTGGTATTGTAGCTCAAAGCTGTCCTGGCTTGTGGAACAATGGCAGTTTCCAGTGGAAGATTGCACATCAACACCAAACCCAGAGATGAGACAATCAAATGCCTGTGAAAGAAGAAGAGCGGCAGCAAGAGAACCAGAGTGAGGGGTCGGGGCAGGAAGGCAGGTGCTTGGGAGCTGGGCCATAGAGCAGACCTGGAGAGGCTACAGGCCTGAGGAAAAGGTTACCCTTGTTTCTCTTCCTAGCAGATAAAGGAGGGTTATAGAGACCAGAGACACACATCGATTAGAAAGAGGGTAGATCCATGAGTATGTATGGGTCCCCAGGCCTGACCACCAGGCAGCTCACTTTACCCCACTTGGATTCAGATTCCTTCCAGGTTGTTCCCGTGCTTCCAGGCAGGGAACCAGCACTGGATCTCCATCCACTTGTCATGGAGGACAAGCTGTATGTCAGAGGGTTCCAACAGCCAAAGAGAACAGAAGCGACAGATAGGATGGGTAGGCTGGAGGACCTGCAATCCCTCGGTGACACACTCCGCTCACCACATCTGCTTACGCCTGGTCCCAGTCATGACCACAAGGGCAGGGGAGCCCTTCCCACTTGAGCACTAGGTTAATCTTTTTGTCAGACCTCTGCTCTATGTTCTACAGCAGTCAGATGGCTTCAGTCCTGCAACCCAAAAAGTCCCCAGATGGGAGGTGTGCTGGCCTAACCTGGGCCTGGGAAGGTTAGGTAAGGAGTTGCTTGCTCTGTTCTCTGAGTACTTCCCTGAGCCTGTGATTGTCAGGTAGATGAAGGCCAAAGCCATATTTATTCCAGTACCTGTGGAGTGTGGCATGATGAAGTGGTAAGGAGTCAGACAGATGGACCCCAGACTGTTTGGACCAGTCTTTGATCCTACAGTACAATCCCAAAGGTGGAGCCAACTAAGGTCCCTGGAAGGTAGATGGGTCTGCAGACCCTGGGACGAGGCCTATAGACAGGCTGAGAAGTTCTAAGACAAGCCAGCCTGGGGTTCTCTGCTCCTCCCCCACCCGGCCACCCTCTGGGCAGAAGTACCCAGGCCACCTCTAACCTCGGGTCTCTGATGTGGATGTGGACAGAGATATGGACACCGAGTCCTGGGGATCGCTTGCCAGCCGCTGCCCAGCACACATGGACTTCAGCATCTGGAAGACGGCAAGGGGAGCCACGTTCAGATTCAGTAAGTCCACCAGGATCCTAGGAAAACAAATGCAGTTCTTAGTGAACACTGCAGGGTACAAAGCGGACATGATCCAGGAGTCGCGCCAGCTGGACCACGGTCTTGAAACCCCTTATAGAGACATGGATATTTTACAGTAGCGGACGCAAGAAATGTTGTCATGAAGCAGGTATTACTTGTAGGGAGTATGAGCTCAAAATCCCGACCCTCGCTTTCTCACTTGAACACATCCGGGTCGATGGCGGCGCCTGCAGCCTGCGCTAGCTCGTACAGCTCCATCTCCTCAGCCCCCAGCACCTTCTTCCGCCGAAGCGCCAGCTTCTGCAGCGTTGCTGCCTCCAATCCTGTTGACACCGCAAGTCCAGCACCACCACCAGCAGCTGCGGCCGCCATTCGTGTAGCCTGACCAGGTGACTCCACAGCACCCGCTACTGGCCACCAGTTTCCTTGCAGGGTCTCTGCAAGTCAACAGCTCCAGCACCAAGGGTCCCAAGAGGTCTTTACTTTGATTGCTTGACTTGTTCTGAACGCCTACTGTGCACAGACCAGTGTGTTAGGCAAGGGGTGGGGTGGTGGAAAGCTGACTGCTGCCTGACGATCAGACTTAGACCGCTGGGTTAGGTAGCAGCCCACAGAAAAGTGCCTGGCATATACTAGGTACTTAGTAAATGCCTGTTGGATGACGGCTATTCACGATTACGTGTAATTACCAGTTCTGTTGGCGGTCGCTAAGCAGCTTTTGCTTTTAGACAGATATGCACTCCTGCCTCCACCCCGAACCCTGAAATACATAAATTTAGGATTAAAGAGCAGCTGATGACGTCACTGCTCATGCGCCTTTGCGGCCAACTGCCTCCGCCGCAAAACTTGACTGGCTTTTGTTTTTGCACGCGCCTTTAAAGGGTGGTTGCGCCGCTTTCCCCACTAGGCAGGGGGTGTGGCTTGATGACGCGCAGCTCGATGACGCTATTTTCGTGTTGTGTGTCTGTATAGCGATGTCTATTTCTGAAGATAGGTAGGCATCCAAAATGACCAAAGGTGAATTAAACATGTCAGCTTGGCCAGAGTGTTGAGAACCGCAAATGTTTAGCCGGTCACCATGAATCAAGTGTCACTGCCATCGGAAAAGAGTGGCCTGGGGAGCCAGTCCAGAAGTACCCACACTGTAAAAGGGGACCAGGAGGGGCATTTAAAATTTGTGAAGGGTACTCTTGGAGATATTTTGTCTCCTGATGCTCTGTCCATTTTACTTTACTGGTCTTATGTGTGTCTGCGTGTATATGTTTGTTGGTTTTTGTTTTGGGTTTTTTTTTTTTCAGTTTGTTTGATTTGTTTTATTTTGGCTTGGGTTTTTTGTTTGTTTTGGTTTTTGTTTGTTTGTTTGTTTTATGTGCCTGTTTGCTAGAGGTGAGAGGAAGGGAGGGAGGGAGGGAGGGAGGGAGGGAGGGAGGGAGAGAGAGAGAGAGAGAGAGAGAGAGAGAGAGAGAGAGTAATTGAGAAGGTGGGGAAGTGGAGAAGTTCAGGGAGGAGATGGATGGAAACCATGATCAGATTGTAGAGTATGAAAAGATATTTTCAATATAAAAATATATGGGATGAGTAGTGTTCATTCTTGTGAAGGGTCGGGGTGGGGGGGAGTATCCATTACTGGGCAGGGGAGAATTTAGAGCATCTAGTTAGTACTCAGCCTTCCTCCTTTCTTCCTTACACTGAATGCAGCTTCCCTGGTTCTGCTTGTCTTCATACTTGGTGAACCTTTGTCCAGTCACCAAGGTCTAGACCTCAGGACTAAACACCATAGACGTGGCTTTCCATGTTGCATAGCACATCTGTCACAGTGAGGATCATGGTGACAGAAAGCTGTTGGTGACTGTGAAGAGCCAGTGTTGGTTGTGGGGAATGAGCTTGGGTCCAGGAACAGACATTACAGGTTGAATGTGCATCTAGCCTGGCACCTGCTTCCCAGGGTGGAACATCCAGGTGTTTGTTTGCAGGATTCTAAAACATTTCCTCAGGTTTTTGCAGAACTGTGGTCATGATGTATATGTAGGCCTTCCCTGCCTCTTTAGTTTCTCATGGGATTGATAGCTCACAAGAGGGTAGTTGGTGGCTCCAGGATCCAGCTCTTATTGCTCAAAATGCCAAAGAGTACGAACAGGAGGCAAATCCAGGTGTGGTACAGCACTATCTTCCTAGCCAAACAGCTGTTATCCATATGAGACAGCTCTGCCTATTTGTAAGAGTATGTCACCTCAGGACCATAGATGGCCAGTATTCATTCATAGAAGGAAGGTCAAGGTAAGGTCACTGGAGCCTCATGTGAGTCACTCCACCATTTGCATACAATTCTGCCATAATTACACATGGCCTCAACTCCAGGAAATGCCAGAGGACTAGACTGCACAGACTTAGAGACCTTAATTGAGGCCTCTTGTACTAATACTTAAAAATTCAAACATTTATGCACACACACAATTACCATGCTCATACAAAATCTCTTTCTCTCTCTCTGTCTCATACACACACTGTCTTGGCTAGTGTTTTGTCAACACAAGATACAGTCATTTGGGAAGAAGATCCTCTATTGAGAAAATGCTCCCATCAGATTGGCCTGTGGGCAAGCCTGTGATGCATTTTTTATTATTATTATTGATGACTGATATCAGAATGCCCAGGTGACTATGGCTGGTGCCACACCAGGTGGTCCTGGATGGTATATCAGAGCAGGCTAAGCTAGCAATGGGAAACAAGCCAGTAAGCAACATTTCTCCATGGCCTGTGCACCAGCTCCTGCCTCTGTGTTCTGCCTTGAGTTCAAGCCCTGACTTCCACATTGGTGGATCACAACCTATAAGATAAAATGAACCTTTTCCTCCCTAAGTTGATTTTGGTCATGGTGTTTTATCATAAGAATAGAAACCCTAACTAAGGCCCATATTGTTACATATTCTTTCATACTGTTATACTCTCAGATGCTCACACGTATTCACATTCATGTACACTCAGAATTATAGACATTTTGCATGCAAGTATACATTCTTACACTTGAATGCTCTCATGCCTGCACACTTAAATGACACAGTGTGTTAAACACACAGTCTCACGCAGAAATGCTTGAAGCAAGTAAACATGTTCATACATACACATAATAACACCCTCATACTTTTATACATGTTTGAACATAAGTATACACTCTGTGTTGACTAGTTTTTGTCAGCTTAACTCAAACCTACACATTAACAGAGTAGAAATCTCATTTGAAAAATTGCCTCTATCAGTTTGCCCTGTGATCATATGTGTGAGGCATTTTATTAATTTCTATTAATGAAGGAGAGCCCAACTCACTGTGGGTGGTGCTATTCTTAGGCACATGGATATGGACTGTAAAAGGTAACTGAACACACCAACAGAAGCAAGCCAGAGGAAGCAAGCCAATAGCGGCTTTTCTCCATGATTCTTGCTTTCTATTCCTCCCTTGGCTTTCCTTGTTGGTGGACTGACATGTAAGCTAAAATAACACTCCTTCCCAAGTTGCTTTTGGTTATGTCTATCACAGAAACAAACAGTAAATAGAACATGATGTTATACACTTTCACACTACAAAACACATACAATATACATTCATGTGAACGCACACACTCTTATGTACTTTTCTCCTCTCACCCACAGTCACACATTCATACTTATTGTTGCCTACTCATGCACACGCACACACAGAAACTCTTTCACATGGTATCACAATTCCTCCTTACGTTTTTTCACAGTTGATTCACTGACAATTGTACTGGAGATACTTATGCACTTGTCCACTATACACTGCCATTTTCAGCATTCCTGAGTGTGTGTGTATGTGTGTGTGTGCGTGCACACGCACACACACACACACACACAAAACTATTATACCTCCAAACACATACTCAGAAAAACATGGTCCTACACTTAAAATTATGTAGACCACACCATACTCACATAGAAACACACAAACACGATCGCACAAACACGCATCAAGACACACACACAGTCTCACACAAGCTCACGGGGTCACACACTTTCTTAAAAGCTCTGGCCTTAAAACTATCCCTAATTTTAACCCAATTAGTAGTCTAAACCTTGCCCTAATTCTAACCTAAACCTGAACATTAAGCATTAAACCCGAACTGATCCTTATCCTTAAACAGCCTGGGGCCTGAACACAGCACTAAGCCTAATCCTAGCACTAGCCTAGCCCTAATTCAGGACCTAATACTATTCCTAACTCTAATCCAAGCCTCAACTCCAAATCTCATCCATAAAGTCTCCATTTGTTCCAAGAAAAGTTCTCTTCATGAGGAGTAAGGACTACACTTACCTGAGTTTGTAAGAATAAATGTTTAGATTGTTGTTAGGAATTATATGCTAAGATAGTTGTGATGGTTAACATCCATGACTTCACTAGCTCTGGATACTTGGCTAGGTTTCCACCACCAGGAATAGATTCCTTCTTGTTGAGTAAGTCCAGCTAGAGAGCTGTTGGTTCCTGCCAAGGTATGTGTGCCACTACTGCCCTCTTAGGATTGTTATGTATGTTGGTCATTGCTGTGGTTTGTAGGCATCATAGCTGGCTACAACTATTGGTTACTCTTCTGCTCAGGAAGCTTGCTTGGTGCTTTCTGGTACCATGAAACCTCAGGGGAAGTCCTCAGGGAAAGAGACATCCAGTTCAGTTCCAGCTCAGGGGCCTCTGAGCCCTGTATCTGAAATGCATGGTGTCTTCAGCCATGGGGAGTTACCTCCTGCCTCTGCAGGGCAACCTAGTTCAATAATGATAGCTTGTAATGTTTTGGGAATTTCTTAGACATCCCTGACCAAAAGAAGATTTTTCATATCTGGTTATTGGAAGTTTTTGTTAGTTGGTCTTTGGCTCTTGGAGGGAACATTGTTAGTCCAGATGAGAAAAATTTATTTAAATTATGTATGTGTACTTTCATACAGATTATATGTATTTTAGGTTTTTAAAACATAAATAGATAATAGTATGATTTCTTGTACCTTTAAGACAAATTTATTGTTGTGTTACCCATACTTCCCTAAAGTGCCCCCCCTTTTTTCATTTTCCCAGTCAGATCATGAGTACTCTGCTATTACCCTCTCTGCTTCTCTTTAATCTCCCTATTCTGACAGTGGTCCCTCCCTACTTTCTGCAATTACTCAGCACTGTGTATTCATATTTAAGGATTTGGAGCTAGGTGCATCCAATGAGAGAGAAGACATGACGTTTGTCTTTCTGGGTCTGGATTACCTCACTCAATGATTGTTTCTAGTTGTTGGGTGCCCTGCAAGCCTCGGGGTCATTCTTCCCTGAGAGGTGAAGAATGAAATTTGAGTCAGTAATATCTTTGCAGGCACTGGGTCAAAACTTTCAGGGTCTGACCTCATGGTTTATTCTTATACATTTAAGCATAGTAAAACTTTGTGAAGAGGTTTCCAAATGACATTTACCACAAAGAAGCTTTATTCATAGCTACATAGAAACTTCCTAGCAAGGTAGTAATGCACCTGTGACCTTTACAATTAGAATGAGTTTTATTGGCTGGTAAACAGAGCTTAGGGCTAGGGCCCTGAGGTAGGATCAGTGATAAGCATAAGATTAGATTCTATTGGTGGAACATGCAAAGTACGTGGGGCTTCTTTCATAGGAATGAGTTGTATTCATTGGGATATAAATCCCAAAATTGGGGCCTAAACAATTCATAGGATACTGGAGCATCAGG